GACAAAATTATATGCCATTTATTTAAATATTTAGTAAAAAATATATATAAGCATTCGAAAAAAATTATATATGTCTGAAGAATCTCTCTGGGTCCCACATAATATATCGAAAATGTAAACTTAAATCTATTCAATATTTTCCCCAGCCATAATATGGCTTGAATGAAACGAATTGTGTTTCGATTTAGTAAGACATACTAGCTCTATTTAGTCTGTGAAAAATATTGCTTGAAATGTGCCCAAAGTATTGATAGCTTATCATATCAGCCGCAAATTAAATCAGAATCAAAATGCAATAAATTAACTGAAATTAAATAATAAATAAAATCTTTAGCAAGGCATTCGCTCTACAAAATATTCCCAAATAAAGTGACTCTCTATTCACGCCTTTTGCACTACAACAAAATTTGATTTAACAATTAATTAGCTAGAAAATCTAGGCCTAGTTCAACCCCAATTTACACAATTTATTCTAAATTCTCTTCGAGGTGTTTGCAGGAAATTACGCACAGCAAAATAGATTATGTCGCCCTTGTGCGGCAGCAGATACATAAATAAACATATCTAATCGATAATATCAATATATGTAGCACCAGATAGCTGCATTGTTATTAGATTAATGAGCAACTTGGCTGAGAACATTACGAATTGGCCAACTCGAACGGCAGCTGAATGGGTTGAGCGATCGGCTCTCAATGTCTTCGTGTTCCTTCTTTTTCTTTTCCATTTATTATTTCAATTTGTGTTTTTTTTTTTGCCCCATTTGTTTGTTTTCTTTTTTCTTTTTTTTTCTATTTTGATGAGCTACAACTGCCTTTATCTACGTAGACGAAATACAAGCGCTCGACTATTAACAAGTTAAAACCAAGAGCGCAGGTACAAGGTTCATTTAAATTTTGATTTTGATAGACATAGACAGGTTCGTGATTTGAGAAGAGTATATTGGTTTTTTAAGTATATAATGTTCAGGTTTATAATACAGAAATATACTCTATATACTGTAGAATAAGTAATATATATAATAATCGACTGACTCGATTCATTAATCAAAATTCCCAATGACTACCTGGAGGAAGTTGAATAAAATCTTTAATTTGAATACCTTTACGGTGTTTACCACAATGGAAATTCCTTTCGAAAAATGTGTAATATAGTGGAATTCTTGGTCCAATTTTAGCTTGAGCCGTCTGTTTTAGTTTTAGCCGAAACAGCAGCGAATTTGCCTAATGTAAATAGTCCGAAATTGGTTTCAACTGTATTTAGATTATGATGTTTATTTTGCGTTGATTTAGTGTGCCCATATGGAAGGTATTAATCACTTTTTAGAAAATCTATTACACTTAAGCAGAAACTTTTCCCAACCACACCAAATCAAGAAAAAATAAACAAGTTTGTAATCAACAACGATCGTCGAAGCGATTTAGCCATAGTTGGAGTAATTGAGTTAGCTAGAAAGTAATCGGTTCTATATATACTAATATACTATATATATGTATATATGTATGAGTTGCTATGGGAATTTAAGCAAGGTTTCTTAAGATAAACTAAATCTTATTAAATTTGATCTTGTTGATACATTATATCAAATGATATCATATGATCTTTTATATTTTTTACTATTTCACATCAT